ACGTTTCATTACACCAAATACACAAAATAATGTTCTTTTTAGCAACATCATATGACCCCTTTAAAAATGAGAAGTTGTTCGTAAAAATATGTATTCTTGTGGAATTATAATGTATTCTAAAAATGTTCAGAAACATAATTGGCTGGCCAGTATAGGGTAGATGGGAGAACATTTGACTTTTTTTTTTTTTTTAAGGTGCTGTAATTGGGGACGGTCAATCTGCAGTGGCCAGCAACATAGCTAACACAACATATCGTCTCCAGTGGTGGGACTTCACCAAATATGACTTGCCTGAGATCAGTAATGGTGAGTGGTTGCAGGGGTGTATCAAAGCCATTAATGACAAATAGACTGTCATATTATCAATGAGAGATGGGGGGAATTAATGTATATCGTGATTCTTTCTTTAATGATTCTGATTAATCTACAGTCGTCTTAAGTTTAGTCACATGTCAGATCATAATCTAAGAGGCCTGGTTTTGGTTATGACTAGGTTTTGCATATGAACAGCAGAATAATCGATAAAAAATAGGATTAGGATTGAACCCACCCCTGGTTCCAGTGGAGTTTGGTGGGGGATTTTCCAGAAAGGCACATGTGTTCTTTCTGAGATTTAATATTTGCCATGTGCCCATCCACCCGAACAGAAACACAAAATGCTTCAATGCCCCACAGTGTTGAGGAAATTGTAGTGAGGGGAAAGACTGCACCATGATAGAGTAGCTGTAGAAAAAGGTAAGAGTGAGCACTCCACTGAGCACAAGAGTGCAGCTGATGGAGGGCAGATGCCATGGACAGGAGAGGAAATTGGTCACATATTACAGTTATTTTCTTCCCCGCCTCTCTCTTTCTTTCCCTCTCACGATGAGCGTTACTGGAAGCTCTTGGCGATTACCCATGGCTGATTACAAGATTGCAGAGTGATTCTTGTTATCTGGGCTTGATCTCACACCTGGCAGCACTTAGGCACTAACATCTGTTCAGCCTGTGAGAATCTTCAGTATCTCAGAAAACAAAGGTTAGCATGTGTTTGTTGCACTATGAAGGTAAGGAAAAAAAGAAATCAAAGTCAGTCCTTATATCTTAACCCAGATGTGCCCAACCTGCTGAGGAACTGTTGATGAATGAGGATTGAGAGTTTTATTTGTCAGTTCTGTCGAAGACTCAGTTATTTTTAAATACTCAGATCTCCAACAGACAGGGCAATAAAACTGACATGAGTTTAGCAGTGCTGGTGTTAGAGTGTAAAAAAACAAAATAGAAACAAGACACAGAACAGCACAATGCATATCACACATGCAGAAGTATTGCACATCCCAATGCCAGTTGGGTCCTGTTCAGTCAAATGGCTGTTTTAGAGGACAACAAAGATTTTGTTAAGTTTTTGTTAAAGCTATTCAAACATGCACAATTGTTTTGGAAAATCCCCTTACCCTTCTTGGCTTGCAGAATCCCCAGCTTTGCCCCAAACACCCTGAAAAAAAATCTCTGGCTTCACAACATCCTGCAAAATATGGTTTGTAGTGGCTTATCATGTTAATTGTAAAGTACCCCCAAAAAAGATGGATTGAAAGTAGGGCTGGGCGATATGGCCTAAAAAAAAAATCCCCGATTTTTTCACAAAAAAATCCGATTTACGATTTAAATAGATTTTTTCCCCCCTACTTAAAATCAATCTGCAGATGACAAAGAAATTGTTCAAAACAAGTTTTAACTTTATTTTGTTTTGATTTTCCCTTCTGGGATTTGATCTGGATTTCCCCCTTGGGGTTAAAGTGCAAACAGAAACAACAAGCCAAAAAGACAAGATGGCAGGCCCTGCCATTGTAAACAGTGAAAATGCAACATAACGTAACATAACATAAAATGTAACATAAGATTCTTATCATACCGGATACAGTTTGTAAATGTTTGTAAGACTGTAGGTCAGTGGTCTTCACTATTTTTTTCATGGGAGCCGCACTGATAGGGCAAAATCAATCAGAGAGCCACCGCGAAGTATCAAAAGTTACATCTAGTCATAAATAGCATGTCTTTTTATCAATCTGTCATCCCTGATATGCAATGCAAAAGGGGCCATCATTCTTTATCATTTACCAGTCAAATTTGTATCTGAGACAAGATGATAAAAAAAAAGCAGGATTACCTTAATACTGGAAAGACCTTAAGTTATTTATTTTTTTTTATACTAGCCCATCATGTATCTAACCATCCACGCGAAGTATCAAAAGTTACATCTAGTCATAAATAGCATGTCTTTTTATCAATCTGTCATCCCTGATATGCAATGCAAAAGGGGCCATCATTCTTTATCATTTACCAGTCAAATTTGTATCTGAGACAAGATGATAAAAAAAAAAGCAGGATTACCTTAATACTGGAAAGACCTTAAGCTATTTTTATTTTTTTATACTAGCCCATCATGTATCTAACCATCCAAGTGCACATTCGGAGTTAAGAGATTAAAACTGGCAACTCCGCAGTTAGTGTCATGGACGTTGGACAGAGCAAGTGTAAATATCTTTTCTAGTCTATATTTCCATCTTGTAATGCCGTTGTTTTAGGATATTTTTTTATATATATAAATTATTATTTGTAATAGATCAGACACTGTCTGACCGTGTCTACACAATTCCGGGGGGCTACCGACGCGCGGAGGGTGGCGTTCGAGAGGACTCCTCGAGCTGAAGGGATTCCCCGAATTTGGTGGAGATCCACCGGCGCGTTCGCGAGATAGTGACACCAGTCAACACTTTCACTTCAGT